TGTGTGTGTGTGTGTGTGTGTGTGTGTGTGTGTGTGTGTGTGTGTGTTTCTTATGTTGGAAACTTCTCTCTGCTCAGCCAGAGAATATGAGAATGTTACAATTATAAAACAAGATTGACAGGATGGATAGTGTTGCACTGGTGGATGACAGTTCCTGGCTGCATGCCTGGAAGTTATTCACAGCAAAGCCAACCCCCACCCCACCACCAACATGTGTGTGTGTGTGTGTGTGTGTGTGTGTGTGTGTGTGTGTGTGTGTGGAGAGGTTCAAGGTCAGAGCAAACACATGCAAACCAGCAACTAGTACAACATATATAAATGACTGTATCGACGAACAATTAACACTGCCGTAGATGAAGCCTCTTTAACTGTCATGTGTTTTGTAAAGCTGGTAGATTTATAACAATCACGAAAAGTAACACTTCTTGAACAGTTTGGACACTTTGCTTCCTCTTAAGAGCTGTGGAAGGGATAAAGCATCACACACGTCCTTGGACACTTGAGGAGCTGTTAAAAATAGGAATTAACATACAGGCTGTAACACAGTGTAAAGTCGTGTACAGTATGAGGGTCATTTATATTTGTATGATATGTTGCTGCCTATTACTGTTTTTACAAAAAATCTTTTCCTGCCTTGACTTGCAGTTCATAAAAAGCATCAGACAAGAATAAATGCTGATTAATATGCAGGTATGACTAAAAGTGTGTGAGTATATTGTCGTCCAAATGTTCAACATTTTGAGAAACACTGCTTTCCTATTGAGTTAGATAAGAAAATCAACGCAACTCTCATGATACATAGGAAGCTACAGCCAGCAGCTGATTAACTTATAGCATAAAGACTGGAAACAGCTTGACTAAAACAACTTCAGCATTTTCACATTTCAACATTTTCAGCAGCTCTTTATTTGCATTATTTGCATATAGCCTTTTCTCGTTACATTTAGCTGGTTTAATCTGTATTCAAACAGAAATGTAAAACAGAGAAGTTGTGGTTTTATAGTTTGGCAACCAGCAGAGGTTTTACATTTTCCGAAAATAGTGAACTATTCCTTTAAGCTGCCAATTAGGTCAGTCTAATTTTGTTGTATGAATCAGGTACCAATAAAATACTTTAAAGTTACTGCTGGTTGGAAGATAACTATACAAAAGGCAACAAGGGAGTAACAATTGGGTGTTTAGGATACAAGATAAATAAGTTATATTGGGAACCTATGGGGTTCTGGGAAACAAAACTGAGGTTCTGGAAAAATTGTGTTATATGAATGGAGATAGAGGGGTTATTGAAGGCAAAGTCCCCAAAAAAAGACGATATGGGTCTCAACAAGGCTATAGGGTGTACTGCAAAGTAGTTTTGGGGTAGAAAGCTAAAAGAAAAGGCAAACGAATATTGGAATAATAAGAAACGTATCAGTCATTTATGGTCAGCAACGTACTTATAAATGGGTATGCGTTGTTCCTGCTGAAAAATATCCTACAACGGTTTGTACGAATGCTGTATGAAACTAGCCGGTGTTCCTTATTAGTTCCTCATACATCGAAGATTAGCCATCCATCTGCATTCATCTAAAAAAATAAAAAAAATTTACCAGTAAGAACATTTGGCATTATCACTACAGGTCAGCATGCAGATAATATGTTTAACAACACAACAAGACGATAATAAGAAAGCAAATACTGCAAATTAGCAGCTGTTTAGCTAAAAATAAGGCAATGACACAAATGGACCCTCTTGAGGCGAAGCGACTTGACAAAGACCCGACTCAGTATCAGAGAGATGAAGGCTGCCCATACCTCACATAGAGTTACATAACCAGTTTGAAGCAAAAGGAGCTGGCGCCCCTCATCAGATCACAAGGTGCTGCTGTGAGCTCAGCTGTCAGGAGTTGCCATTGAGGGCAAAGAAACTGCTCCTCCTCCTAAGTGGATGAATAGTACTGAAGGCAGCCGCCACCTACAGGAATCTGCTGACTTAATGTTGGTCTATTTTTAAATCAATATCAGCTTCAGTCAACACATGACTGAACACCCAAAATGCCACACATGCACATACAGTGAGTACCCAAAGACCAAACATACTGTACATTTCATGAAGAGCTTACTTAACAGTGGCTCTGAGTGAATTATCTCAAGAACTATTTTCATGGATTTCCATGAAATCTGGAACATAAATCCCTTTAGAATTAATTGTAATAACTTTCCATCTACAGTGCCATCATCAGGTCAAATTATTTATTTATTTATTTTTAATACTTTGGCATAACCAAACATAATGCAAAATGAATGACTATGACCGTACCAACCATTGTGGAGAACACAGGTAATTTTGGGGGGTTTATTGACCTGGGGGGAGTTTACATTCTACAGTTTAGATTTTTGGGGGGATTTAAAACAAAAGGTAAAAATTCAGTAAAGGAAAATAAAATTTACAGAAAATAAAACTGAAGAGTTAACTGTTAAAATAAAATATACAAAATGCACATTATTATATCAAACAGACTCTTTCTGAAGGGTGCAGTCGTATTGACAGTTTAGGTGCCTGTCGATGAAAGTTTGTGCCTTTTATTTTGAAGGCAGTCAAACAGGAAGTATTGTTTTGGCAGGTTTGCTTGTGTTTGACTCGGATGAACTCGTGTTTTGAGTTGAAACGTCATCGGAGTAGAATGCGGACCTTGATCGGTCAGAGGAAGGTTTATCCTCATCGTCAGTAACTCCGTATTCACTTCCTGTTGGGAATGATCGATGACTTATAGGGTAAGTGAATTTATATGTATGATTTACAGCTGGAAAAAAAGCAGAAGGCAAAATGAATTTCGGTTTGAGTTCTGCATTTTACCAGAGCAACTGAGCAAACAAGTTAGAAGTGTGACTTTTCATTTCCACATTACAGAGACAATTACACTATGATTCATGTAAGGTCGGATAGAGGCTAGAAAGTTACTCGTTTTGAAGCTGACTGTGTATCAAAAATATATCAACAAACAAAAATAAGCAAAGGAAATTCAACACTCCCATGAGAGTTGGAAAAAAGGAAGGAAACAAAAGAGACATTTCCATACCGGCCACTCTGTGAGGCATTATGAAGAAGAAGCTGCGTGTCAGGCAGATCTCTTAGAGCAGAGATGATGGAGACATTAAATAATCTGTGTGTTGAATATGAATAGAAAAACTATAGCTGCAAATATAAACAACATCTGTCCAACAGTTGCAATTAATAACAAATGCTTACTGAAAGAAAGGTGAAAACATTTAATTAGAGAATTTTAATAAAACTAATTTCAACTGAAGACTATACGAAACTAAAGAAAGCTGCCATGTCCAACCCCCTGCACTCCAGTCAATTAGATTTTACCTTCTCAGCCTCATCGAACTGAAATCCACCACCTGCCAGGTACGTAAGTATTGGCTAAACCAAGCAAGCATCCACACCACACAGAATAGTGAACATGCCATGAATACAAGATCTCTAAATGACTTCTGACATCTCAATCAATGGGCACCCATCTGTAACAATGAGTACACCAAATACTATAAAATGTTATTTACTGCACAAACATCTTACCTTTCTTCCTACATCTTAACAGAGCCAACATCCCAGGGAGAGCAAAAATCCTATCAACCCATAAAACGACCAAAACAAACAAGCTGGTGTTATTTATACACCTTAATTAATAATGTATCAAATAAACTGAAACATTAGACTGAAGTTAATGATTAAGCAGACACTAAATCACTGTTCATTTTGGGGAACACAGCCTAGTAAAAAGGGAGAAAGGCAACCTTCAACAACAACAAGACTAATTCAGTTCTGGACGGAGTTAACTCACTTCCATGTATTCTTCTCCTCTCATCTTTGTAACTTTGTGTCAAAGAGAGATATGTTTGACTTTGTGGCAAACGTATGATGAACACATACATACATGTTTTAAAATATAACATATTCAAATTTACTCAAGTAATGTGTACATAAGCATTATTTTAACAATATTTTACTTACTTTTTACTTGAGTATTTCCAATGCATGTAACTTTACACTTTTACTCTTTATTTATATGACAACAAACTAAGATTGTGTTTACATAGCCTACAGTATAATGACATCATACAATATGCTGCGTTTGTAGAGATTAAACTACCCAAAAGTAAAAATCATTTTGCTTCACCAGAACCAACTAATACAATAAAAGGCTGCTCACACACTAATGTGTCAGAAACAATCAATGCAATACTACAATACATAATATTATGTTTTCTGGGCTCAATCTCTACATTATTAGTACTTTTACTTTAGAGTTTTGCTGCTAATACATAATTAAACTCATAAAAATGCATTGTATGCCTTTTACAATATACAATGTATCAAATAAATGATATGTTGCTGTCTAGTTTTGATGAATATCTTCGACAGAGTTTATGCCATTTCTGAATGCAGTAACTATGATAGCAAACAGGAAACGCCTTCTTAATTCTGCCCCTCTATCGTCTATCTTTGCACAGCACAAAAAAAGAGCCTTACCTTTTCCTCTTTTGAGTCTATGCTAAAAAATACATACATTTAACAGTCTAAACTTAGTGATGGCCAGGTTCGTTTTTATTGTACAGGCGTTTCACTTCCCTGTTTGCAAGAGCCACTTCCTTATGGTTAACATTTTCTAACACATTCCATTGAGCTACTGTTAGAGAATGTTAACCACGGGGGCCGACAGAGATATCATACAGTCACTGTGGCTGGTGAGGCCTCACCAGGAGAACGTGTTTCACCGTCACACATGTGTTGTTGTGGTGCTCCGTAGATACAGTATGCTTTGAGTCTGGATACTGAGACTGTTTTGATTCCTTGTCAATAGCAGAAAGCTTGTTGGAGATGGAGGAGGCTGAACACAGCTGTAAGAAATGACGAGGAGTCCTGAATTGTTGGAGCAGCGACAGATGAGCTTATAAAGGGTAATTAAGTTCACGCTGATGTACAAGACAGTGCACTTTATGTTTAAATTCACTTCATCACACAGAGCCAGAAAAAAAGAAACCAGGACCAAGGCATTGGGGTTTTAATAGGCCTCATGGGAAGATGAGTCCCGGTTGCTATTGTAAATAAGAATACATATAATTCAGAATCAAACTGCACAAACTGCTTTTTTTTTTTTAGTAAAAACACTTTTATGCAGATATTTTATGTTATTATTCAATCAATTATAATGTTTCTTTGTTTCCAACATTCCTACCAGCAGAAACACTAAATACATATCCATGTATAACCTATACATGGATATGTATTTATTCAATTTGTGGGTTCTACAATAAAAACACATGGTTGATAGTTTAAAAGCTGATTCCAGTATTTCTGTTTTAGTCCAACCAATAACTCAATAAATAAAGGCTTCAGCATTTCTCACGCAGAATTGAAAAAGCAATTAGATCTGTCAGGAAATAAAATATAAAAAAAGGACGAGCTGCTCTACGGACTTAGCTGTTGACTGAATAAATCAAATAATAAAACAAATCTACTGATTAAGGTGCAGTGTGTGTGTGTGTGTGAATTCATGACAAATTCAAAAGCATGTCTATGGCTTTTTGTGTAAGCTGGATAAAGTAATACTTCACATATAATGTGATAATGATATATTGATCAAATTAATTATGGTCCCATTATATTCAGTGTGTCACAGTCATTCCAGTGAGCCAGCATGCACAGTACCAGGGCCCTGGCCCACCTAAATGGAACAGGGCCATAATTAATGTTATTAATTACATCTGTGTTTAATTACGACATGTCAAAACAAAATGGCTTCTGTGAAAAGTGCTTATTAAGGATGGTGAATCTGGAAAATATATCCCTAGCATGGTCATTTTGAGTATGTTTGCATGCTGACGTTATATTTAGCTCAAAGCTCCACTGTACCTGAGTCAGCTGAGCTGCAGATTAGCTGTAGACTCTTAGTCTTGTTCCTCATTATGCCACCAATCTGTATACTGAGTGAGTGTATTATTTAAATTAAATTTCCCCTATTTACTGGCTGCAGATCCCTGAGCTGGTGAGATGGAGGAAGCGTACAGTGAACTGTACCAGCAGTTTCTTCGTCTGAGGTCACTTTGCCTGAAACAGGCAGCTCTGCTACATCAACTCACGACCGCTCTGCAGAAACAGCAAGGTCCACATAAAAACATTTGTAATTCCAATGCTCATAAACAAGTCAGCCATGACTTACTTAACACACCTAAAACTCTCTCTCTGCAGGTGCCACTGTTCCTAATGGAGAGCTGAGTGATATGATGTCCATCCCCACCCAGTGTACCCAAGAAATCCCTGTATTTTTCCATGAAAGGCCTCATCCGCTGACAGCCACGGCACGCAACCCTGCAGCACAGCGTGGCGTCGTTCGCCTCTCTCCAAACGTGGGGACATTTTCTGATCTCCTCCCTGAAGACATGACTAAGCTCTGTGTGGATGTGCCTCGTCATGGAAAGGAAGACAGGATGTTGGAGCAAATGGTTACACCCCTGTTAAGCTGTGACTTCACGATGTGGCAAGGAGCCTCTTCCAGTGTCTCAAATCATCCGGGGCGAGCAGATCATCACAGTAGAGACAGGACAAAGCACACAGTGGGGGTAGGTGTCTTAAATGGACTAAAGTCCCAGCTGTGGTGGCGAGGGGACCTCAAATCTGTCCTTGGATTTTTACCATATTCTTCCTCAAAAAAACTCAATGTCTTGTCCTCTCTGTTTGTGTCAGATGCCTGCGATGCCTGCGATGCCTGCGAGAGACAGTACCTCCCTGCCTAGAGATTTGCTGACTCCATCTGACGGGTTACTGATGTCAGACGTGGTGCTACAGTCTCACGTTTGTGAGTTCTGCCAGGCGGTTTTCCCCGGAGACACAGCCACCAGGGGAGAGTTCCTACGCCATCTTTACACCCACGTCACCTAAACTAAGCTGATCATTCTTCACCTCCTGACCTTTGAGTTGTGTCTTCATATGATACAGCATTGGAAATTGACCTGCTCATCATATGGTTTAGCCATTTTCTAGATGAATTGTGCAGAGTCTGATGCTAGCATCTGTTTCTTTCTCTGAGATGGGAAGGGAAGAGTGGAAAACTTGTAAAAGCATTGAGATATTTTATTTATAAAGGCTCAGTTCACCCAAATAAAAAAAAGAAACGCATACAGCTACTTACTATATCTAGCCATGATTTTATTTGTCCAGGGTTTGACATATCCATCCACACACCCTACTGTATCAGTTTGTATAAGAACTATTAATTCCGTAGAAAGTAAAATGAACCTAACCCAATCCACACTGCGGCAAATTAAGCCATAACCATCTGCATGACCAGATATTCTTTTCCTTGAGCTAACTGTTTAAGCTACTTCATTCATTACATGTAGCTCACAGAGAGAACTCCTACGATAGCATGAATTATTATCATTCCCCACTCTGTTATAGTTTCAACTTGCAACCACTACGTATAGACACACTGCTCTACAATATGAGAACAATACATGTGTTTGAAGATTGCTTGTAACTAACAATATAAAAAGCATCTACAGAGGAATCAATTATGAAATAAATTACAATTTTGTAATTTGTGGAATAGTTGGCCTTTCTACCTTTCAATCTGAAACCCTAATGTCATTGTAGTTCCTAGACCAAAAGAAAATATTTTGGGCAGCAAAGTCATTTTTTTTCTTATTGTGCGTTATTGATTAGTTAATAAGATGGCCAACAATGACAGTTATGGACAGTGAGACACAATGTTGTGTTTATGATCTTAAGTAACTGTTTGAAAAGATAATTATAAAGCTAATTATTAAAACTGAAATAGCTAACTTTCCATGTGTTGTCACCATCAATTTATAGCACAAGTGGTGGGTTATTAAATGGGTTCAGTATACAATGACATTATATTTTAACATTTTTATTTAGCTCTGTAGGTTTTGGTTTTGGGAGAGAGTTGTTCATGTTTACTAATATTTCTTGACTGTCTTAGACCACAGGAATAACTTGTAGGAATTTTGAAAATGGGTATATTTCCCCTCCAAATGGACTCCGCAGACACTCTTAGCTTTGGGAAATATCCTGATAAACATTTGCATGCACTGGAGACATGCTCATCTAGATTAACCAAAAAAAAAATACCACATTTGAATGCAGATATGCACAGACTTCTTAATCCCATTAACAGTCTTCCTGGTGCTTTTTATATGTCTGCTGTCAGGCATTTAACTGATCAGCTGTGTGCTGCTCAGCTCTGTGTTACTGAGGAAAACATGGGCTCAAAATAGAATGGACTCAAATATTTACCTCCCTATTAGTGGTGCTGACAGCGGATTGACGATGACAGCACCCTTCATCTGCTGCCACATTGACTGTTGCTCTCACAATTACAGTAAAGAAAACCAACATGGATAATATGCTCTTGTGTCATCAAAAAGGTAAAGAGAACTTTTCATATAAACATCACTTTGAACATCTGATCAGATTAAATTGGTCCTGTAATGGGGGAGGGGAAATTGAATATGACTCTACAGTAAAGCCAGCAGTGCTTTCTGCTAGCATGTTAATGTTTACTAGTTTAGCGGGTTAGCTTATAACAGTTGCTGATTAGTAATGAACACATCGTTTAACTGAAGCTGATGGTGATATATCAGCTTGGCAGGAATTTGGCCATAAACCAAAGTGTTAGAAACTAAAATTCTGACCTGATGGTGGTGCTGATCATCCTCTGGAGACCAAAAAACCCTCCACCTATCTTCATGACACTCCTTCTTCTAGTCTAAACAAAAATGTTGTCCTCATGGTGGCGCAAGACAAAAAGTGTATCACTGGACTCAGTAGGATTCATCCTATGAGGATCATGAATAATTACACAATTTGATGGAAATCCATCAAAGAATTGTTGAGTTATTTTAGTCTGGCCCAAAATGGTGGATGGACCGACCAATCAATAGACGCTGCTATTCCGAGAAAGAAGCAAAGCTTAACTATAACATTTGATTTTGTGTTACACATAAAGTAAAACAGTGAACATTTGTGGTTTTGACATCATACAACAGCTTGAGGTTGTTTGATGTTTTTATTGTAACTTGTCCGTCTGAAAATCAAGTGAGGAAGGGTGTGTGTGGGTGTGTGTGTGTGTGTGAGCGCCAATGACATCGCTGGTACAGGTGAGTCATGCCGGCTTCGAGGCTGATCAGTGCAGAGCGTGAGTGCAACAAACCAGACGACAGCAGAGGTGTTGCTGCCTATGTGACGCAGTTCCTGCAGCCTCTTCCACACATCAGAACTGCCAAGAAAAAAATCATTCTTTGTGGAAAACAATGCAACACACTTTAAGCATTAAAATAACATTTATTGAAATGTAACAAAATAAATTATCTGTTTTGCAACATAATCAACTGAGGAGGTTACTAATGAGACAGGCAGGTGTAACTGCTGCACAGCAGGCTACCTCACTGACACACTGTGATTAAGTGTACACAAATCCTTTTTTAGCCATTATCAACACAAGCCTTGTCGTTACATGAAGTCTGAATACATTGTAACAATTTTAAACGGACAAATAGGCGGATGGATCTTGCAGGAGCTGCTGTATCAAGAGTCAAGCACCATGAGGTTTATTTTTGTAAACCTCTGCGTGTTGTTTTTTTTCATGTCTAAAGCTTAATAAAGAAAAATTAGTCACCCTAATTTACGAAAAGTCTTAAAGGACAATAGAGGGAAACTGACATACGGTTCATAATATCTTAGACCACAGAAATCATCCCAACAACACACTGCCATATGTTTCCGCTACACCTACATAAAATCGCATTAAAAATCTACAATAATCACCACATTTTCTGAAAATGCTGTGTTAAATATTAGTTTTGAATGCAGTCTCCTCACAGGCTTTACAGTGGCACCTTTTGGGAGCAACATTAAAGTAAAGATGAGAGCCGTTGATGACAAGCATCCTCCCTGCTGACGGGCCCTGGAGCAAGACCCTGTAGCTGACACTGAAGCCTGATGTGCAGACAGAGGCAACTGAGAGGTTAACTGTCGACTGGAAATCAAAAAGCATCAGTGTTCTTATCTCATGCCACCCAGTTTAGATTTAGGTGTACTGAGTACATTTTCACATAATTAAAGATAATGAAAAGCCTAAAGTATCGTCTCTTACAAAACAGTATTTCAGCTGCTTGTGCAAGATATTACAGAAAGATGTGAGGGAGATGATGATGAAGACCTGCGGCTTTATATCTCATAACCCTCAGCACTGCATTTTCAAAACTCATGGGCGATTAGACGATGCAGCAAAAGGATGAAAGGCCTCTGAACCCGACCGCGGTTTGATTGTACGCTCTGGGAAATCTAGATCAGCATGTGCCATTCAGTAATCCATCGATGTGGATATTTATCTCCATCTTTAAATTTTAAAGTGTACACTGACTTCAAAAAACAGAACATCCATTTGTTTCCTGAGGGTGAGGAGCTGCTGAGAGTGTTAGGAAACGTTTTTTAGATTGTGAGTTGCTGAAAACGTACATAAAAGTCTTCCAATGAAACCAAGTTTCCTTGACATAACTACAGTATGTCACTGGAGTAAGTTGTCAATTTTTAAGTTGCAGTGCCCCCTGCTGTGTTGAGCGCATCTGAAACAGGTGGCCCTGTCAAAACAAGGAACTATAAATAAACTTTTTTTTATCTTTTCCTGATACAATCAGTACATTATTCCACTATCAGCTAAATTCTGCAGGATATCTAATCCATATATGAAGAAAGAAAATAAACAAAAAGTGTCTACCCTCAAACATTTACTGAATGTAAAGTCCAAAGAGAACATTTCTGATGTCAGTGTTTAGGAGTCACTGCAGGTTTATGAGATCAGTGGCTGGTAAATTTGGATAATCACTGTATTGATGGAAAAGAGTCTTCTCCTCATCAATAGCAGCCAGTATAGCAGACTGTGAGTGGAGTTCAGTGGCAGGCCTGAGGATAAAAGATGAGCGTTTTCATTTCCCCCGGTGATTAGAGTCGTCTTTGGTGATGCAAGGGCTGCTGCTCCTGTATGCTGTTATCAAGCTCCGCCTCTCCATTTTACTGTCATGGTCTGTGGAGAGAGGTAAAGTTTACAATGAGACCTGACACGAAAATTTAATTTGGAGTCACTTAAAGAACAAATCCTAGTTAAGAGAACCAATGGAAAGTATACAAAGAGCTCTAAAAGCGATTCCAGCCGGAAGCAAGTGGCATTAAGGTCATGAATGGATCTACTTTGTCTGTAACATCTACTGTAGAACTACTGTGTGCTGGGTCAATCAACTGGGAAATGAAAGAACAATAAAATATATCTAGCTTTATGAGTTTTTGCATCAAATAGTTTTGTTAAACGCTGTGAATGCAAGATGAACAGCACTGACAGTTTTTATAACACTGATGTACAGGATAAATATAAGTGAAGAGGCACAGTAATCAAGATGCAACCAGTGTTTTAAGACCTTTGAACAACAAGTTGGGGAATTCAGCGAGAAACTCTCCCACGTTCAGTGAAGTCATTAAGGTTTATATGACCAACCCAAGCTGACTAACAAAAAGTCTCCAGTATCACGAGTTTGATTCGTCTTCGGCTGGTGATAAGTGATGCAGTCAACAAATCAAATGAACGAGATGCGTAAATAAATCAAACAGAAGTTGGTGTTCATTGTGTATTCATCTTAAAACAACTACCTCTGATGTGCATAATTAGCTTGCAAGAGAAGTAGTACATGTAAATAGCACTTAAAGTATTTCACAAGTCAAAGATTATTGATTTATTGACTATTCATTTCTTTATTTGCTCGTTAAGAAACCTCCATGTGTACATGTGCTTTAACAGCAAGCAGTAATATAATAACTTATGAGGAATGTAATTTGTGATCACACAAAGTAGCACATATTAATATTAAATTAATACATTTAATAGCACATATTCAGTAGCAACCATGGAAAAAATGTGTTTTAAATGGTTAAATGATGAGAAAGGATATCCTGACGATATGACGGAGAACAAGTTGTGGCAGAAAACAGTGACGTTGACAGGAAGTGAGAAATAGTTCTGATTAACAAGGAATGAGGAAATGTGGATGAGTGAGAGATAAAAACCAAGACAAAGTGAGGGAGATCGACGTCAGAGATGAAACATATGTCATTTTTTTGTTGTTTTCACAGTCCTTTTGGTAGAGGGAGAAGAAGTATAAAAAAGACTGTGCCATTTCCCTGCCCACAGCTTTTATTTTTGTACACTGTCGCTTGGTGAGTCAATGCAACGCCCCTCCAATTACCTCCCACTCCTTCGCCCCCACGCCCATCCATCCCGCCCTTCAGCCCACGCACCTAACACATTCTGACGTCAGTCGCTGCCGAGAGGAGGGGGGGGTCCGATTCTGCCGCCCAC